ACTGACCGTACGGCGCCTGGAGGCGCTCCCTCTTCACAGCAGCTACGTGAGTGGTACTCGCGGTACTGCAGCCTCAGGAGGGGCGCTTCTGGGGCTAGGGGTGCTGCTGGAGCTGGTGCTCGTGGTTCCCCGCCTAGGCGGGAGCCGCCCTCTCCCCAGAGGCTTCGAGAGTGGTACGCTCGGCGCTGCAGTCTCCGGAGTGGCGCTGCTGGTGCTTTGGACCCTGGAGCTGGAGCTGCTGCTGGTGCCGCGGACCCTGGAGTTGGAGCTGCTGCTGGTGCTGAGGACCCTGGAGTTGGAGCTGCTGCTGGTGCTGAGGACCCTGGAGTTGGAGCTGCTGCTGGTGCTGAGGACCCTGGAGCTGGAGCCGCTGCTCGTGCTGCGGACCCTGGAGCTGGTGCTGCTGGTGCAGGAGCTGCTGGTGGTGCTGCTGGAGGTGCTGCTGGAGCTGGAGCTGCTGGAGGTGCTGCTGGAGCAGGAGCTGCTGGAGGTGCTGCTGGTGCTGGAGCTGCTGGAGGCGCTGCTGGTGTTGCTGGTGCTGCTGGAGGTGCTGCTGGTGCTGGAGCTGCTGGAGCCGCTGGTTCTGGAGGTGCTCGTACTGGAGATACTGGAGCTGCTGGGGATACTGGTGGTGCTGCAAGAGTTGTCGCTGGAGACCCTGGGACTGAGGGTGCTGGTGCTGTCTCTGCTGGTTCAGGAGGTGCTGAGCGGCCGCGACCGTACTACGTTCCACTCCTTCAGCAGGTTCTTGGCCTCCCACCCTCCACTGGTCCTTCTCCTCCCCTACTGAGTCCACCACCTGTCTAGTCGCAGTCACAGTTACCTTACGCTGGGCCGACTAGAGGTCTTACGGAGCGTCGTGAGCCTGAGTCTCGTCCTGCGTCGCCTGAGTCTCGTCCTGCGTCGCCTGAGTCTCGTCCTAAGTTGCCTGAGTCTCGTCCAGAGTCGTCTGTCCGCACTGTCCGCACTGGTCGTCGTGCTCCGCGTCAGCGTCCTCCTCCTGTACTTGGCACACACTATATGACTCTGCGTCCTTCCACTGCTCCTCAGCGTGTCCCTCTGCCGTCTCCTCCTGCGTCCTCTCTTCCTGACGTTGCTGACCCGCCGTCAGACCTTGCTCGTGCTGCCAGTCCTACTGTCGCGCGTCTTCTCGCTGACCCTTCCTTTGAGTCCACTGCTGCGTCTGCTCTAGTTGCTGAGCTTGTTGACTTTGCTGCCGCCTGTCGTCTAGACTACGCCGCTAGCCTTGTTGCTGAGTCTGAGTCTGTCTGTCCTCCGTCCGTCGGGGGTGAGTGTGCTCTTGGCACGGACGTCCTTGAGGACAGACAGGAGGAGTTTGAGTGCTTTGCCGCTGCTTTACCTCATCTCGTGTCCATGCTGATTGCCCCTGAGGGAGACCCGGATGCACCAGACATCCCGACCCCGCGCTCTTACGCAGAGGCGATAGAGGGTCCCTACTCCTCTCAGTGGCAGACAGCCATGGACGCAGAGATGGCTTCCTGGAAGTCCACAGGCACCTACGTCGACGAGGTTCCCCCACCTGGGGTGAACATTGTCAGTGGCATGTGGATTTTCAGGGTGAAGCGGCCGCCGGGTTCTCCGCCTGTCTTCAGGTTCCCCCACTCTTCGGGTTCTGCTGCACGTCGCCGCTCAGCGTGACTACGAGCTCCACTCTCTTGACTTCAGCACTGCTTTCCTACAGGGCAGCCTGCACGAGGAGATCTGGCTGCGCCGCCCACCTGGCTTCACTGGGTCGTTCCCTGCTGGTACCCAGTGGAGCCTCCGGCGGCCAGTCTACGGTCTCCGCCAGGCACCCCGTGAGGACTACTCTTGCTGCTCTTGGGTTTGCTCCTTCTACTGCTGACCCGTCGCTGTTTCTACGCACCGACACCACTCTGCCGCCGTTCTACGTTCTCGTGTACGTAGACGACTTGGTCTTTGCTACTGCTGACACTGAGGCACTCGCCCACGTGAAGTCGGAGCTGCAGAAGAGACACACGTGCACAGACCTGGGTGAGCTGACAAGCTATCTTGGCTTACGGATCACCCGGGACAGAGCACAGCGCACCATCACCTTGACTCAGTCACACATGGTGCAGCAGGTCCTTCAGTGCTTCCGCTTCATGTACTCCTCGCCTCAGCCCACTCCTCTGCCTACCGGTCACTCGCTCTCAGCTCTGCCTTCGGATGAGTCCGTAGAGCCGAGTGGCCCGTATCCAGAGCTTGTGGGCTGCCTCATGTACCTGATGACCTGCACTCGACCTGACCTTGCATACCCTCTTAGCATCCTAGCACGCTATGTCGCTCCTGGCCGTCACCGGAAGGAGCACATGGATGCCGCTAAGAGGGTGTTGCGCTACTTGTGCAGTACGTCGGGCATGGGGCTTGTGCTTGGAGGACGGAGCGACGTTGTCCTCACTGGGCACTCAGACGCTTCTTGGGCTGATGATCAGGCTACGCAGCGGTCGTCTCAGGGTTACACCTTCAGCCTTGGCTCTGGTTCAGTTTCTTGGCGTTCTACACGCTCGTCTTCAGTTCTCAGCTTTAGTTGTGAGGCTGAGATCTACGCCACAGCCATGGCTGCACAGGAGTTACGCTGGCTCACCTACCTGCTGACCGACCTGGGAGAGCGGCCTCGTTCTCCTCCAGTGCTGTACGTCGACAACAAGGCCGCCATTGCCTTGTGTCAGGAGCACAGACTGGAGCACAGAACGAAGCACATCGCTCTGCGCTACTTCCTTGCTCGAGAGCTGCAGCAGCGTGGTCAGCTTCGTCTTGCGTACGTGGCCACTCGGGCCAACACTGCTGATGTGTTCACCAAGGCGCTTCAGCCTTGTGATCATCAGCGTTTCTGTACTGTTCTAGGCCTTGTGCCTACTGTCCCTCACTTGCTCACTTCTTGACTCTGCTTGTACTGTGATCTCTATATATATACCTGCATGCTTACACTTGCTAGGTTGTGATCAATGTACCTCTTGTTATATTATCAAACTGCATGTGAACTGGTCTTGTGACCGCTTGCTTGTGCTCGGAATTTGTGTGGTATCCTTGAGATCCACCCTGAGCTTGTTTTGCTTTGCTTTGCTTTGACTGGTCTTGTGACCCCTTGCTCTCCCCCACTTAGCCTATGGGGGTGTCTCAAACATTATATATGTTATAGTTGTGTAGGCTACAGTGGGTTAGCCTTTAGGGGGTACACTACTCTAGGGTTTGGTACTTGTACTCCCATTTGTTTCTAGTTCACACACTTCTCATTTCTAACAGAGATGATTGTCATGCATGTCGTGTACTCTTGCATCTCTTATATCTGCTATATACCTGCATGTGGACTGGCCTTGTGGCCTCTTGTTTGTTCTTGGACTGCGTGGTGATCTTGAGATCCACCCGGAGAGTTGTTTTGTTATTTTGAACTGGTCTTGTGACCGTTGCTTGTATGTGCTGACTGGTCCTGTGATCGTTGCTGTGTTTTTTGCTTTCCACAGGACTTCCGTCACCTAGACTATGGGGGTGTGTCAAGCTATATTTGTTATAGCTTCTATTGTTAGTCTAGGTGTACTTTCTACTTGTTGGGGTTAGGGTTAGGTTTCCTATATACTTGTTGTACTTTCCACTTCTAGTCATTCATTCTCATATCCAAACACCGGAGGCCTCTCCCCTTGCGACAGTGGCTCGTAGGCGCTCGCCGATGTTACGATAACTCGCCACTAGTCCATGGCGGGCCCGCGCAGCAAGGACATGGCGTACCGGATCGTTGCTGCATCCGACGTGACGTCATTTGCATAAAAAAACACGTTCATCGTGAACACCCACGATTGAACCGTCGGACCTCCATGCTGGCTAGGATCGAAACACGGTGGCCGCTGTGGCTTGAGTGGCATCGGCTCACCGGCATTGTTGTCGACAGGTGCCGCGATACTGATGTGACAACGGGCTTCGCGAGGTGTGTTCACGCCCGGTGCCTCCCTGATTCTCTCCATGCCCGGCATAGATTGGGCGACGCCATCACTGATTGCGCCTAAGCGATGTCCCACGCTGTCTTGTTGTGATGGTGTTCCAGAAGAAATGACGATGGGTTCTTCAGTTTTTGCATGTGCATTTGCTGGTGCTGGTGCCGGTGCATTCGTCGTCGACTGCTGCCGTGCGGAGTCACGCTCCGCCATGAGTGTCGCGATTCCGAGTGTAGACTCCTCGAGTTGGCGCATTATTTCGTCGAGGCGTTCTTGCGTCAATGTCGCGAGCGGAACGCGACCAGATTCGTCCATGGCGGGGGTGTCGGGCTAGCTTAGCGAGAGCCTTGGTCGTAGCTGTGTGTGCTTACGAGAGAGCACACGACCAGCCGTGCTTGGTCGCTGAGGGACGTCTAACCCCCCCCCCCCCCACCCCCCCCCCAATTTGAGATAATTTGGGAAGCGAAGGTGTGGACGCGGTCCGAAAAGGGTCGTGGCTCTGAATGTCAAGTGTTACGAGTGCAATAGAGTGAGCGAACGAAGATTGCACTATCGAAGCAAAACAGTACATTGAGCGAAGGAATGAGCGAATGATACCGTAAATCGTGAACTAGCGTGACGGTAACAAGCGAACTGTGGGGTGCCCGACGGGCCTGGCGCCGAGGTTGGGAATTGTCGAGGCGGGGGACCGGAGCGCAAGTTACCAGCCAAACCGTGAGGTTGGGTCGCGATGTGAACAGTGTCGGGAACAGTAGTCGAGGCGAGTGTCGCGAGGAGGTAACGGTTTACCGTTGGGGACTGTTGGCGGGAACAGTAGTGCACGCGGTAAGCAGGGGCGCGAAGTAAGGAAAATAAATTTTCCTTTCACCTATGTTAGAGCGACCTGAACCAGAGGGCACCATGATAAAAGAGGGTGCAAAGACTTTGCCAGCACATAATATATACAGCTGCGAACAACCCTGCTAGTTATAGCTGTGTAAACTCCACATACCACACTACGTATGCTAGGTTACAACTTACAGGGTAGCACAACGCGCGCAGCTATGGATGACATCAGCAAAAGGACGGGCGTATGTAGCTGGGAGGAAGAGTGGGGCATCGTTCGTTCATGTGGGCATAAAGAGGGATGGAGTTGAAACCAGGCAGGTCAAAACGCCACTTGCCCAGCAGCTGACACCACGCCCGACCACCACCTGCCCCCTCCCCTCCCTGCTCCATATCACCCCCTTCCCTCTCTCCCCTACTCTCCCTTCTTCCAAGTTGTTCTTTATCCCCCTTCTGCCCTGCCTGCTCCTCGTGCCCTGATTGCTCCGACTGCTCCGATTGATCTTGGCTGAAGCACCAGGAGGGCAGGTGGGAGGCGTTGGAAGCAAAGAGCTGCAGCTGGTAGGCGTCTCGGATCTGATGGAGGGCCAGGGCGGATGGGCAGAGGATGACACACAGAGCAGAGGGACGGACAAAGCATGGCAGCATGCATGTTGAAAAGGGTGAGGGTGGAGGATGCAAGCGGGAGTAGGAGGGAAAGAAGGACCTCCTGGCAGGTGGTGAGACGAGGGCAAGGCCCTGTGGATGCGGACAGAGAGATGCAATGTGGTGAGGTGGGGGTCATGGGAAACGGCAGCATGGCAGCATGGCAGCATGGCAGCATGGCAGCATGGCAGCATGGAAACATGGCAGCACGGCAGCATGGCAGCATGGCAGCATGGCAGCATGGCAGTAGCATCACTGACCGTGAATTCGCTGACGTTGATGTGTTCCCCCATGGCGCCAAACACACCCGCCTCCTTCCACACGCGCAGCGCAAACGCCACACACGACAGCGACAGCCCGTCACTGTAGCGCCAGCTGTCCTGCTCGGGCAGCGCCAGCAGCTGCCCGAACGAAATATTTCGGCGCTGACACTCGACCAGTACTTGCTCTAGAGAGTGGTTCTGATTGGTGGGTTGGAGGGGAGACCGATGGAGGGGAGACCGATGGAGGGGTATTGCCATGGAGATCGATAGCAACGCACGACTGGTCGGTTTCACACCTGTAAAGTAACCACAGCTGAGAGCAGCGACTACACGAGTTGGAGTGAGCTGATCAGCAGACTAGGAGGAAGTTGAGAGAGCAAGGTCGAGTGCAGGGTTGGTGAGACGAGCAGCAGTGCGGTGAGACGGGCGAGATCAGATCATGCGGGCAGAACAAGAGGAGTGGTGTTGATGAAGGGAGAGGGAGTTTACTTGCATGCTGCACTTGTGTTCGTCCCACTCCACCACCACAGTACGGTTCACCCCTGCTATTCACCTGACCAATCACCTGACCATTCACCTGACCACTCACCTGACCATTCATCTGACCACTCACCTGACCATTCATCTGACCACTCACCTGACCATTCATCTGACCACTCACCTGACCATTCATCTGACCACTCACCTGTGTCCCAAGGCGTCTGTTGAGGGCCTCGTTCCAAATGCGGGCGGCATACTCTGGCTGCACTCGGCTCCACACGGCTGCCAGCGCTGCCACCTGAGGGGCAGGGGGGGAGAGAGGGACGGGGCGAGTGGGGTGGTGATGGGCGAGTGAGGTGAAGGGAGTGGCAGGCGACAGGGGAGAGCAAAAGGAGACATGGGAAGGAACAGTGCAGGGAAGAGCAGGGAGGAGAACATGGAAGGGTATGAGAGGGGAAATGGGCAACGTGAGTGCAAAAATTATTCAAGACTGAAAGAAGAAAAAACTTCACTATGCGATCAAGCTGAATGCACCGCTTTCATCCACCAGCATCCCCCATTTACCGTGTTTCATTAATAGGCAGAGGGAAGTTGCCAGCAGCCGTACCAATCCAGCTGAACACGATGTTGTGATACCCAAACTGCCGCCCCTCCATCTTTCAGTTGACTCAAAAGGTACTCATCAGCCCCCCCTCACCATGTTCTCATTGACGGAGGAGGGAAATTGCCAGGAGGTGTATCAATCCAGCTGAACACGATGTTGTGATACCCAAACTGCCGCCCCTCCATCGCTCAGTCGACCAACACATTCTCCACCAGCCCTGCCTTACAGTGTTCTCATTGACAGGCGGGGGAAAGTTGCTCGCAGGTGTATCAATCCAGCTGAACATAATGTTGTGGTACCCAAACTGCTGCCCCTCCATCGCCCTCACAAACGCCCACGCGCGCCCATTGTCCCACCGCTGCCTTCCCTCCTCCCCCAGCCGTAGCACCACCACGTGCTGCCCACTCGGATCCCTCTGCATACGCCTCCACCACTCTGCAAACCGCTCCACCGCAATCTCCGGCCGCCCTGCCACGCTGATCCGCCCACTCTCTGCAACCCAGAGCTCCCCCTCCCTCCCCTCCCCCACTCCTTCAACCCCATCACGCCCATCACCCCCCTCACCCGCACCCGCAGTTGCGCTGTCAGTGCGCAGCAGCAGGGCGGCGTGGGCAGCATAGCTGCCGGTGACCCACTTCTCCATGGTCTCAAACAGCCCCCACGGCCCGCGGAACTTGCTCGTCAGCAGCAGATCGCCGCTTGCAAGGAAGGCCGTGGCGGCGGGAAGAGTGAGGTCGGGTGGCGGGGCGAGGGGCCTGGTGGGGAATGGGGAGGGGAGGGGCGAGTGGGGCGAGGGCAAGGAGACTGATGGGAATGTAGCTTGGCGCCAAGGAGACCACGGAACTTGCTGGTGAGCAGCACATCGCCACTTGACAGGAAGGCGGTGGCGGCGGGGCGAGAGAGGTCGGGGGAGGGGCGAGGGGTCTGGTGGGGAGGGGGAGAGAGGGGTGGGGAGGAGTGGCAAAGGAGGCCGATGAGGATGTGACTGCAACTTGCTGGTCAGCAGCAGGCCGCCACCGGCGAGAACGGTTGTGGCAGCGCAGCAGGACGAGAGGGGTTGGGAGGCGGGGCGAGGAGTGTTGAGGGACGGGGGAAAGGTGGGGAGGAGAGAGGCCAAGGAGGTGGATGAGGGTGATGGGTGAAGGGAGGGAAGGGGGAGGAGTGGCGGAGAGTGGGAGGAGGCAGGAGGGAGGATGGGGAGGGGAGGTCGGGAGGAGAGAGGCAGAGGAAGTGGGGGAGGGTGAGAGGTGAAGGGAGAATGAGGAAGATGAATGAGGGAAGCGGCGGATGTGTGAGTTAAAGGAGAGGGAGAAGAGTGAGAAGGAACACGACTACAGTTGTGTGCCGTCAGGAATGGCAGTGTGCAGCGCTGTGCGTGTGAGCATACACATGGACACGCGGGTGAAGGGAGACATGCACGTCGCATACAGGGCTGGGGAGGCATACAGGTGGCAGTGCAGGGAGGCATACACATGGGGGTGGAAGGAGGCGTGCATGTGCTGGTGGAGGCATACACATGGGGGTGGAAGGAGGCGTGCATGTGCTGGTGGAGGCATACACATGGGGGTGGAAGGAGGCGTGCATGTGCTGGTGGAGGCATACACATGGGGGTGGAAGGAGGCGTGCATGTGCTGGTGGAGGCATACACATGGGGGTGGAAGGAGGCGTGCATGTGCTGGTGGAGGCATACACATGGGGGTGGAAGGAGGCGTGCATGTGCTGGTGGAGGCATACACATGGGGGTGGAAGGAGGCGTGCATGTGCTGGTGGAGGCATACACATGGGGGTGGAAGGAGGCGTGCATGTGCTGGTGGAGGCATACACATGGGGGTGGAAGGAGGCGTGCATGTGCTGGTGGAGGCATACACATGGGGGTGGAAGGAGGCGTGCATGTGCTGGTGGAGGCATACACATGGGGGTGGAAGGAGGCGTGCATGTGCTGGTGGAGGCATACACATGGGGGTGGAAGGAGGCGTGCATGTGCTGCTGCAGGAAGCGCATCTGAGCCGCCTCGCCCACGCTGCTGTCGGACGCTAGAGGCAGCAGCTGCAGCAGCGCCTTCACCGCCCCCCACAGCCCGTGCGGCAGGCGGAACACAGCCACGCCCCGCTGCTGCACCTGCAATAGGGGAGGAGGAGTGGGCCCAGGCATGGCAGGGAGAGGGGGGAGGGGCAGGCATGGCAAGAGGAGGGAGTGGCCTCAAAACAAGCGTGACGGTAGCAGCCCGTGCAGCAGCCGGAACACACATGCATACATGTACATGCATACTGAGGGAAGCACACATGCAAGGAATGCACACTGATGCGTCATGCGTGCACGGAGCACGGAACGCACATAGTCGGTCTCGAGTGGTCCCATGGGCGGCCAGAGCACGGTGACTTGGTGAGGCAGGGCGAGGGGCAGCACGCGCACCACCACGTGGAAGGGCGTCGCCAGGGCGTACACGTCCGTGCACAGCATGCGCCGCTTGCCATGCGGCTGAGGGGGAGGGGGGCCGGGGGTGGCATGGGAAGGCATGTTAAGAGGAAGGGAAAAGGGTGGCCAGAGCATACACGTCGGAGCACAGCATGCGCCGCTTGCCATGGGGCTGAGGGGGACAGGGATGGCACAGGGCAGGCGTGTTCGGGGTTGGATGTTGGGGGAGGGGAGGAAGGACGTGGCAAGGCAAGTGCGTAAACGTCTGTGCAGGGCATGCGCCGCTTGCCGTGGGTGGGGATGAGGGGGAAGGGCGGTGGGGGTTGCGTGGGCATGGCCGGTGCAGGGGAAGGCATGTTGGAGGGGGAAGGCATGTTGGAGGGGGAAGGCATGTTGGAGGGGGAAGGCTTGTTGAGCGGAATGCGTGTCGGGGGAAGGGGAGAAGGGTTTTGAGTGACGACGGCATGGACGCCAAAATACACCCGACACTGCTTTGCAGGGGGCTGACGGGGCCTGGTAGGTGGCTGGCAGTGGGAGTTGGGAAACGGGGAGGTGGAGTGCGGTGGGGCACATGAGGTCAAAGGAGAACACGTCTGGGGGGTGGAATTGTGAGCAAGGTCGCATGGTGGAGCGCTGTGGGTGAATGTGGGATGGATCATGGACGGCTGGGGGATGGTATCCGTGTATGCTGGGGGGATAGCCTCTACACACACCCCATACGTAGACTTCTGAGACGCTTCAAAAGTGGACACTGGAGGGCTGGAAGATAATATCCGTGTATGCTGGGGGATAACATCTACACGTATTGCGCAGAGAAGCTTTGCTGCACACTCTTGCGAGTTTTAAGTGGCACGTGGCAGGCACGGGGTGCATGTGTCACGCACAGAGAGAGTCACGGTCGCTGCACCCTGCTGCTGCCGCCCATTCACCCCCCGCTCCCTCCTCGCCCCATCCGCCTCTGGCTCAGGCTCAGGCTGAATCGCCACCACCCACTCCCTCCCCCCCACCGCCCCTCGCTTCCCTCCCCTCCTTGCCCTCGTCCCTCCAACTTCCCCCTCCCCCATACCCCAACCCTCGTCCCTCACGCTTCTCCTCAAACCCACGGCCTCTCCTCGCCCTACTCCTCCTACTCCTCCCTCTCCACCTCCTCCCCCTCCTGTGTGACCAGGCCTCCCCTCGCGCACGGCCAGTCGCGCCGTGACCTGTTCGAAGCACGTGTCGCCCCACGCGAGGCCCTCACCGTCCGTCGCCACGTGGCCCAGGTACTCGGGGAGAATCGCCGACACATCGTCACCGCCGTGCGACGGCGACGAGCGACGCGGCTGCGAGGCGCGATCGGGAGCGTCGCGTATTGTCGCGTGCGACGGAGAATCGGGCCGCGCGGAAGGGGTGGCAGCGGCGCCATGGGTGGAATAGGCGAGCGTCGGGGGGGGGAAGGGAAGGAGCGAGGAAGAAACGAAGGACGCGATTGGTAATAGGGTCGGGATGGTACGGCCGATGGAGGTTGCGCGCGACGAGAATTTGAGAGACGAGAGACGACGAGTGGTGCTTGGAGGCGTAGTGGAAACTGCCAGGAGGACGAGGAGAAGAGCGAGGGCAGAACATAAGCAGATGGCTGCTTTTCGAGCAGGTCGCGAAGGACTCTCCATGGGTAGCTAGGCGAGATGACAAGGCCAGCGAGAGGGAGGACGCTACTAAGAACAGGCCGAGTGGTAATGCGCGTGCGTCGCGGTGGAGACCGAAGGCTAGAGGGACACGAAAAATGCACACATGTGGTGGGTTGGATGGAGTGGAGCTGCATGCAGTGAAATAAGCGTGTATTCGCGATATAAGCGTGTCCGGAAGGTGTCGTATTAGAATATCAAATTTATGGCTGTACAAATGAATGTAGGAGCACGGGTGGGAACTTCAACGAGGTTTGGGTTTTGGTGTGGCGCCGTGGACGTGTGCGGCTGTCGCTCGTTTCAGGCCCCATCTACGTGGAACATCTCCAGCAATGTGGGAAACCGAAACCCAGAGTTGCATGTTCGCGATCGTCGTCACAAGCAAATTAGGTTTCGACCAGGCCTGTCGATTGACGGGCATATGCCCTTAATGCCCTGAAATTCCGGGCTGCTTTTGCTCCAGCTCGACTGCATAAAGTGTTAGGATCGCCCTGCACCCGTGCCACTAAGTGCCTCGTTCGACCCTTCCCCGGATGCGTTAAGTGCCCAAACCAGGCCTTCCCCTGTCTCAAAGTTTTGGTTTCCGGTTGTAGGACCCCCCCCCCCAAATTCTGCCTGACCCCCCCCCCCTTTCTCAGGTTGCACGAGAGGAGTGGATTTTGACCTTAGCGTTTTCTAGCCAATCCTGTGTTTATAAAGTGTCTAAGTCAGCTTGGAGCACCCGAATTTTCCCTTAGCGTCAAAGTGCCCCCCCCTCTTTCTCCTTTGGTTGCACGAGAGGAGTGGATTTTTCCCTTAGCGTTTTCTAGCCAATCCTGTGTTTATAAAGTGTCTAATTCAGCTTGGAGCACCCGAATTTTCCCTTAGCGTCTAAGTGCAAACTCTTCACAAGCCCGGATTTTAAGTTTTCACTTTGGGGTGCGCCCGTGACCGTTAAGGGCACCCAAACGCTCAGCTACACCCAAAACAGGGTCAGATGGGGAGGAGCTGGGGAGCGCAAGTATTGGCCCCAGGAACTTCGACAGGCCTGGTTTCGACGAAGTTTTTACCCATCCGGAACTCAGCTGCAACCGCAGCCCAAGTTCCACGCCCTCAATGCTCATCAGAGCACAATTCACATTATGTGGTTTTGGTCATTTGAATTGAAAGCCATTCACCCCGCCAAACAAGCTAGATCAGGCGCTTTCCCTTGGCCTCGCCTCGCCTTGCCTCGCGCATCCCCTTCCATTGCCCACTCTCTCCCACGCCTTTAACGCCGTTCGCATCATTCGCGACGCCGTACCGAGATGGTGGCACGTCACAGCGTAGGAAAATGCAGACGCGTTTAAAGCTTCTAGGTCAAGGAGTCCGGTGGAGATGGGGTAAGTACCTATGAGGAGATCCTCCTCTTCCCCCTCCTCCTCCCTCTCCTCCTCCCCCTCCTCCTCCCCCTCCTCCTCCCCCTCCTCCTCCCCTCCTCCTCCCCCCCTCCTCCCCCCCCCTCCTCCCGCTCCTCTTCTCCCCCCTCTGCCTCCCGCTCCTCCCCCTCTGCCTCCCGCTCCTCCCCCTCCGCCTCCCGCTTCTCCTCCTCCGCATGCACCTTCGCAGGCTGGATCGCCTGGTCGTTGCGCGCGGTTGACGCTAGAAATAACGACGCTATTTTAACCATCCCCGCTGCCCCATCCATCCCCCGCTGCTCAACCACCCCTCTGCCCCAACCATCCCCTCTGCCCTCCAGGCAGCGACGTAAGTCCACTCTCCTGCCGCCACAGAGGCTATAGTCACGCTGGATACAATCACCACCGCAATCACCACCACAATCACCGTCGCTATGACCGACGTCTGCTGCTCGGAGTGCTCCTCCTCGCGTTCCTCTCCTTGCGCCATGCCGTGGCTCGAGGTGTGTGACTGTAGCGCAATGTCTATCTTGGTGTGTGACTGTAGCGCAATGTCTATCTTGGTGTGTGACTGTAGCGCAATGTCTATCTTGGTGTGTATATCTCTCTGCCGCCCCATCACTCTGCCACCCATCACTGCGCCTTTTTTTTATAACGTCACCTCAACTCCACGCGTCCCGTCCCTGCTTCGCGTCGTGCCTGCCATCCCATCGCCTGCCTGTGGCAGAGGCAGAGGAGGGTCAGGAGCATGAGGAGAGCAAGGAGCGGCAGGAGGAGGCCCTTCTGGGTCGTGTGCAGCAGTTCGAGCGGTCGCTAGCTGATCAGCTGTGAGCTCTCTCTCACAACGCATCTCTCTCACAACGCATCTCTCTTGCTTCTGTCTTCATCTCTATCATACCTCTCCTCTTCTCCTTCTGTTCGCTGTGAGCCGCCTCTTCCCTCCCCCAACACTACCCGCACCCCCCCACCTTTTCTTTCCACTCTTCTGGGAGCGTTACACATGTCTACATCTGCCCCCCATCTCTGTTTCCTGGCCGGTTTGCCAGTTTCTTTGTTATTGCCTCGTACCAAGAACTACTGCCAACTTGTTTGATTCATTCTGCCCTTGCCTCTTCCTTGTCGCCTCCTTCCGTCCCTCCGCCGCCCTGCACTGAGGGTATGGGTGAGGAAGCACAACCAGGCTCATCCATGCACCAAATCTTCTCCCCTCCCTCTTTTTCCTTCCCTCGCCTCGCCTGCCCTCCCCTGCCCTCCCCTTCCCTCCCCTGCCCTCCCCTTCTTTCCCCTTCCCTCCCCTGCCCTCCCCTTCCCTCCCCTTCCCTCCCCTGCCCTCCCCTTCCCTCTTCTGCCCTCCCCTCCCCTCCCCCCCCCCTCCCCCCCCCCGCTCCTCCCCCCCCTCCACTCCCCTGCCAGCCACATGGAGCGGTGGGGCGTGCTAAGGGCATGAGCAGCACCATTCAACGGCACGCTGCACACCGCAGCGCTGCCCTCCATAATGATGGACCACTACGACCTCCACCCCCACCTCCGCCCGCGCCTCAACTGCCGCACCCCGCCCCCTCCCCTCCCCTCCCCTGCGCGTCTCACTCTGCCCTCCTCTTCCCCCCCCCTCCCTGTGCCCCCAGCCACTTGGAGCGGCGGGACCTAGTGAGAGCATCAGCAGCGCCATTCAACCGCACACTGCACACGGCGGCCCTGCCCTCCATAATGCTCGACTACTACGAGCTCCACCCGCAGCTTGGCTCGCGCCTGCAGTGCCGCGGCCCGCCCTGCCCCAAGTTCGGCCACTGCGGGTCATCCTTCCCGCACATAGAAGCCTGCTGGAACGACCACCTGACGGACCCGCGCCCGCTCTTCCCCGCGGATCCGCTCAACTGCCCGCGCGTGCAGCCCGTGGCGGACGTGGGGCGGCTGCGGCGGCCGTGGTACTTCATCGACAAGTAGTGCTCGCACCGCGTGGATGTGAATGCGCGCGACGCCACCGCCATGCAGGTGTGTTCAAGACGAGATGATGATGGATGTGTATTCCGCGTTTGGGGGTTTTTTATGTTGACTCAAGAACCGCTGTTGCTCTTTTGCTTAAGGCTAAACTACACGACTGCGGCTCTCTGAGAATCATGAATGCGCATGATGCGATGCCGCCATGCAGGTGTTCAAGATGAAGGATGTGTACTCGGCGTTCGGGGGATATGTGTTTAACTTGACGCACCGCTTCAACCGCAACGGCTGCAAGCGCTTCCTCAAGGTGCTGCTCGCTTCCTCAAGGTGCTGCTCGCTTCCTCAAGGTGCCGTGCTGCGCTGTGTTGTGTTGTGTGCATGCTTGCCTTGCCCTCTTGCTTGCTTGATTGTTCTCTGCCGGCTGTACCATCATTCGTGCACCTCTAGTGCTCCATGTGCTTCCAAGAAATGCTCAATTAGGAAGCACCAGCCAGGCAACTCGACCTCCTTCGACCCTCTCTCACTCCATCCCTCCCTCAAATTCCCTCGCCGCACACCTCGACGTCGCTTCTCCCATTTTTTGCGCTTTGCATTGCTACCTTCGCCCCACGTCTCACCATGCGTGCGACATCCGAACAAGGTCGCAAACAGACCTGCCCGGCAACTTTCCCTTCTCTCCTCTTCACACCTCTACCTTCTTCCCCTCCTCACTCTCCCTCCCAGACCACCTTCACCACCCCAGCTTACACGCTACTCAAGGGACGTGCTCCACTGCCTTCACTGTATCTCCCCCTGGGCTACTCCTAGGCGTGTACCCGTGAGGGGAAAGGGGGGGGTTCACTGGGACTACTGGCAGCCGGCAGCCACCCATCTCGTCGCCGCGGCGTTGCCATGCATTCCTACATTGCTCCGTCCCTATATTCCCACATCCCTGCGTCTCCCCCAGGCGACACTCACGCCCAACATGACGGTGTACCATCTAAAGGAGGTGTTCAACTGGGACTACCGCCAGGCGGGCAACTTCTACCACTTCATCATCGAGGCCGTTCCGCTGCTCTACGCCGCCGCCCGCCTCCTGCCCTCGCTGCTGCCTGACATCCCCATCGCCGCCAAGAGCGACCAGGTAACAACGCACGCCCATTCCACCGCCACCTTCTTCTCTGTCCTCCCTGCTCTGACTGTGCCGCTGCCCTGCTCCGTTGCCGCCCGCCTCCTGCCCTCGCTCCTGCCCTCGCTGCTGCCCTCGCTGCTGCCCTCGCTGCTGCCCTCGCTGCTGCCCTCGCTGCTGCCCTCGCTGCTGCCCGACATCCCTATTGCCGCCAAGAGTGACCAGGTAATAGCGCACGCCCATTTCCCTGGCTTCCACTTCTCCCTCCCCGCCGCTCTATGCCGCCGCCCGCCTCCTGCATCCCCTTTCTGCCCGACATCCCCATTGCTGCAAAGGGCGACCAAGTAAGCACACCCTTTAACACCCGCCCTTTTCCTTCCGTTTCTCTCTCTAGCTGCTCTGCTCCGCCGCCCGCCTCCTACCGTTGCTGCCCGACATCCCCATCACCTCCTCGTTCACCCTCCCTGACCCTTCCTTCTGTTCCCCCCTCCCCCCCGACCTCCCAGTGGGAGGTGTACGACAAGAACCGGCTGCCCATAGTGGGAGTGCCGTGAATGGACCAGAAGCACTCCCGCGGTAATGAGTCGTGTTTTGAGTCGACTCAAAACAGAACCAGCTTCTTCCCGCGGCTCGCCTGTGCCGTGAATGGGCGCTGCTATCAACCAAGTGGCCTCCATCCTCCTCCCCTCCTCCACTTCCTCTCTCCCCCCCTCCACCTCCTCAGTGGGAGGTGTACGACCAGATAGGGCTGCCCATAGTGGGCGTGCCTCGCGAGGACATGTGGACCATCCGAGTGCGCGCATGGGAGATCATACACGCCGACACCATGTACCAGGTGTGTTGGGATGCCATGATGCCGTGATGCCATGCACCAGGTGATCCCATGTACCAGGTGATGCCATGCACCAGGTGATGCCATGCACCAGGTGAGGCCATGCACCAGGTGATGCCATGTACCAGGTGATGCCATGTACCAGGTGATGCCATGTCCTTCCCTTCTCTCCCCCACTTGTCCCTCCTCTACCCCCTTCTTCCCCCCCCATACCCCTTCCTCAACCAGCCCATGGCGCAGACGTGTGGCGGCCCCAACAAGGCCCTTTGGACGCATCTGAGGAGCCACCACCTGCTGCCGCCCGGCGGGCTGCCGCTCTTCCACCGCAACTGGACGCTGCGCTCCGTGCCGCCGCTCGCCGCCCAGGACATGGCAGCGCTGCCGCCTAACTGGGTGGTGGTGCTGGGCAAGCGGCCGATGGCGAAGCGCGCTCTGGTGAACTGGGACGGGCTGAGGGACGCGGTGTATGAGAGCTTTGAGAGCTACGGGAGCCAACGCATTGTGGTGTTCCAAGGGGACATGCGCATCATGGAAGGTGACTTGGTGTGCTGGGCGCGGGGGGGTGGTGCGGATGGGCATGTGGGCATGTCCATAGTGCATCCCACGTGTATGACTGCAAAGCCGTCTTCGCCATTACTCTTAAATCTCGAAAGTATCACCCGACCTTCACAATAACCCCGTTTTAACTCAACACCCCACGCTCCCCCTAGTGCATCCTATGTTCCCCCGAATGCACCCCACGCTCCCCTGAATGCGCCGCCCCGCGCCCCATTCTCCCCCTTCTCTGCCCCACCCCGTTTTTACTCAACACCCCATGCTCTTCGTAATGCGCCCCACACTCCCCCAAAGCGCTCCTCTCCTTTTTCCCCCGTCCTCTTTTCCTCACAGCGCGGGCTCTCTTCCGCTGGGCGCGTCTATATGTGTCGGGCCACGGGGCCGCCTTGGCCTTTTGAAGCGCCTCAAAGCCCCCCAATGCCCCCATTCTCCCCCCTTTCTCCCCCACCAGCCCGGGCTCTCTTCCGCCTGGCGCGACCCTTTGTGTCGGGCCACGGAGCTGCCTTTGCCAATGTCATCTTCATGCCCGTCCCCCCTTCTGCCCCAACCTGTTTTCACGCATCAACCCATGCACCCCTAATGCGTGCTCTTCCTAATGCGCTCCTCTCTCCATGCTACCCCAACTGCGCTCCACACTTCTCTCTCCCATACCAGCCCGGGCTCTCTTCCGCCGCGCGCGTCTCTTTGTGTCGGGCCACGGGGCCGCCTTCGCCAATGTCATCTTCATGCCGGCCAACGCCTCCATCTACGAGATCCGCCCGCGCAAGTGTTACAACGCCTGTTACAACAACCTGGCGCATGCTTGCTCTGTGCGTTACCACCTCTCGTTCGGAGATGGCACGTGCTATTCGTCGTTGAAGGCCAACTTGACACATGTGAGGGAGACTCTTTCCACAATAGCGCAGAGATTTAGAGACGAGGATGCTGCGTTTGCTGAACAATAACGAGATTCCAGTAGTGTTCTCTTCCTGGCTTATGTACGTGGTAGTATTATTTCATTCTTCAATTAGGTTCGATTATGGTCAGCTGAGGCAAGGCAATGTGCTGTCTTTGCTCGGAAGAAATTTGTCAGGTTTCATTCCCAAGGATGGCTGATGAATCACCACAAGGGAATCCGAGAGAGTTACGGTATGTAGGTTAGTACATATGAAGCAAGCAAAGAGAAACAAAAACACTGATGTCGAATGCAAGTTCCACATCACATCCCAGTACCGTATCGCCCCGGATATAGGCGCCGTCCGATTATAGGCGCCGGCGCCTCTATCTGGAGCATGGCGCTTATGGCCGGACCTCGATTAGAAGCGCCCCCCCTGAGATTTCTGTACTTATTATAAGCGCCACCCTTGAAATTATTATAAGTCTTTTAAGAAACAATTTCATTGAAATCACTTACATGACACTTCTAGACAGCAGCTACAACATCAGTGACCCGAAATAGCAAGTCTAGCAACATCACTTCTACCTAACAAGTCTAGTCATCGTCAGATTCGGGCTCCTCGCAGTTGTTCCCAAAAAACCCATCAGCGATGATGTCATCGTCGACATCCACTTCCGCTGTCAGCTGGCTCCGCCTGTGCGCCATGGCGAGGCCGTCCTCACTGCCGTCGAGCGCGTTGCTGATGCCACAGGTGAGGAAGGATCGCTTTATCAGCTCGGCCGGCACTGACTTCCAGGCCTGAGATATCCACCTCAGGACGACCTCTGCAGGCGGCTTCTTCAAATTCCCTGAAACATTACGGGAGAACGGTGGAAACCCGTTAGTCAACAACAAAAGATACCGTAAACAAGGGGAGGGGGGGGGGGGGGGTAAACACAATACCGTGCTCATTCCATACCTGCTGCCGTCAGCTGCTCTTGACCTTCTGCCTCAAACCACCTCTGGTACTGCTGGCGGACCGACGCTTTAAAGCTCTTGTTGGTGGAGACATCTAGCGGCTGTACCTCCGCCGTACAGCCCGACGGGATGATTGCCGGCACGCAGTTCATCTCGCGGAGCTTGTCCTTCACTTCCTGGGTGAGGTGACCGCGGTAAGAGTCCAGCACCAGCATCGAGCTCTTGGCGTGTCTGCCGAACTTGGGCTTCAAGGAAGGCTTGACGCCCTCCTCAAGCCAGCGAACAACGCCCGCGGAGTCCATCCACCCGTTCTCTTGTGCAGCCACAACCACATCTGCAGGAATCATGTTCGACCAGTTAGAATTCGCAGTCGGAAGCATGGCGCAGTTAACGAGCAGTGCACCTACCGTATTGACTTACCGTGTGGGAAATTGCCCTTAGGCACGGTCTTGCGCTTGAAGTACACCGACGGCTTCAGCTTCAATCCGTCCGCCGTGCACGCCAACATCACGGTCACACGCTGCTTTTGATAGCCCGCGCTCCTGATAGGCACCGAGCGAACACCCGTTTCATCCACGGTGGTGGTGGCGGGCATCTCCAGCGAGAGCGGCGTCTGGTCCGCGTTGATGATCCACGCGGTGTCGATGCCACGCTCACGACGCTTGGCACGCACGAACTTCCAGAAGCTCTTGCACTGCTCGGCGACATCTGAAGGGTGGTGGAAGGGAGGACGGACACACATGGCGGGTGTTAGTACAACAATTTAAAAAAAACAGGGCAAAGTACACGGGGTAACTCTTACGCGCGGCGGTTTTCTGGGCAACCCGGGTCTTCATGCGGACGCTCAGATTCCATCGACGCGGAAAGCGCTGCGACCACCTCTGGCTTCCTTTCCACGGCTTGTCCGGGTACAGCAGCCTCATGTACTCCCGCGACCACTCCTGCAGGCGGCCGACTGATACGACGGTTCCCTTGCGGCGCCACTCGAGAAGTTTCTCGTACACCTTCAACTCCATAGGCCGGTACCACGACGCTCGCCCGCGGCCGTGCATGCGCTTCCGAGCGGAGTGAACTTCCTTGAGGAATTCAGACGCCCGCTTCCAGTTGGTGAGGCACTTGGGGTGGATTCCGCTCTCGCGAGCCAAGGAGCGCACCGACACCGCCACAGCAAGCTTGGCAACCCACTTCAACTTCTCCGCGGCGGTGTAACCATGCCTCTTGTGGTCGGTGAGCTTGTGCCTGGGAGAGGGGGGGCGGGCATCACGGTTCTGGGTAGAGGGGTGGGGTCGTTTGCGATTGATCGGGGGATAGGAAGGTATCGGCAAGGTCTCGAGAAGCCCGTCGCGAGACCAGTACTCCACGCCGTCATCGGCATCGTCGCCGGGAACACCTTCTGGAAAAACATCTTCAGCGGAGCCGCCCTCGGCGCCGCCCCCGGCGCTCGCCTCCGTGCCACCCTCGCCGGCGTAAGCCCCGCTCGCTTCCTCAGCGTCAGCGTCAGCTTCCTCAGCAACATCATCGTCGGCGCCGACTGCAGATTCGTCCCACGGGCAATCGTCAGGCTGTCCCCACCGTGAACCAGGCACGTACTCCACTTCGACCTCCTCATCTTGCGCCTTGTCAGACTCTGGTTCGGAGAGGAATTCGTCAAACGCCGATGGGAGCAGCAGCGTGAGCATGGGCTCAGCTCCAGCGTGTAGCGGAGGCACAGGACCCTGAGTAGACTGTGGAACAAGAGGAACAGGAGGCTCAGGAGGTGCAGGAGGCGAAGGAGGAGCAGGAGGCGTAGGAGGCGCAGGAGGCTGTGGTGGCTCTGGTGGTGATGGTGGGACACGGGAGTACCACCCGTCTGCGTCTACTCTAAACGCGGGCCTGCGCGTAGGCTTCTTCTTGAACAAGAAGTGCGTGCCGCTGAATTCCGCCATGGCTTCCGCAGCATGGCGAGAGTGGCCAAGAACCAAGAACGGGAAACTGAATGAATGGATGAACAAATGAAGGATTCAAAGGGACCCCTTCTGGCTAGCGCCACGGGGTCCTCGTCGTGGAGAGACGGGTGTCCCCAGTCTGAACCCGGAGAGGAGGGTATCGCGCCACGCACGATGCTGCGCTGGCAGGGCATTCCAGCCGCTTCTAGATGGTTCGGGTGAATTGCAGCTGCCACCCAGCGCATGAAAGCCTGATTGGGCCGCAAGGCATCTTTCACGTCAGCGCTGGCAGGTGCGCTGCTCCTGGACGGGCTTTGTGCGGCTGGAAACCGAAGCGCGGCAGTTTTCGGCGGGTTTTCATGCATGATGCCACGCGCACGTTACACAATCTTGTTCGCCTTATTACGGGCTTCGATTTGATACAAAAAAAAAATACAAATTCATTTTTACCATGATATAAGCGCCGGCGCTTATGGCCGTTATTCAATTACAAGCGCCACCCCAAAAAAAACATGTTTTATTATAAGCGCCGTGGCGCTTATATCCGGGGTTAGACGGTATGTTACGATATGAAATTACATGAGTAGGCATTCCTGTATGCTGCAGGAGCCGACTCTACCGAGTACGAAGTCGAGGAGTCAGAAGAGTCGAAGCGACGCAGCAACCGTCTAACCAAGACCGATGCAGTCAGAAACATTTGAAGTGAAAAGAGCGGGAACAGGTTTGAAACGGGTTCCCGCGCCGCACGGTTTGAATTTCGCTGCAATAAGGGAATGTACCCCTTAGAGTACATGGCTAGTCTAAGTCTTTTCGTATTCCTTTGTACTCTTATATAAACCCGATGTATGCATGCTTTTATCAACTCAGTCATTTTACATTCACTCTGACCTGAGATTCAAACTTCCGCTGCAACACTACTCTGCGATCAACCCTGAGCGATCCTTCGCTAAGTCCCACCTGGGATTGTAACATGGTATGAGAGCTACTCAGGGATTCTTCGCATAATCAATTCCTTGAAATTCGCCGAACCAAGATCTGGCGAGCGGCACACGCTCCAAGACCAAGATGGCCGGAGGATCCGGAGGCCAAACAAATCTGACGGCTGAATGACAAACCAACCCGGCTGCGACAAATGAGGCGACAACTACGATCGGCACTGCCGCACTCGAGCAGTTATTTGCTCGACTTTCAACCATGGAGAAAGAACTCCAAGACTTGCGCAAAGGCAATGCGGGAATCTCTTCCCATCCAGCTCAACCTGGACAACCGACAACGAAAAGCCGTGATACCGCCGCGCACACCTTCTCCCTCGATACAGACAAATCAACAACAACTGCCCCCCGTCCAAGTGATGAAGTCATTAACTCTGCGCAAGCACACTTCCTCAGCGTTTCAAAAACCAAGACTACCGCCGCCTTCGACGGCAAGGATTTCTATACATGGAGTTTTGAGCTTGAGCTCCTCCTACAGACAGCGCAGATCTACCATTACTGCGACGGCTCTTATTCTAAACCGGTGGACGACACCGACGACGCCAGGGCTCAGTACTACAGCGAGTCCCTCATGGCGTATAGCGTGCTGCTACGCAACATGACGCCTGCAGACCAACTAAGCATCCGCTCCTACAAAGAGAGCGCCGCTCCAGCCTTGGAAGCCTGGAAGCACCTCGTTGAGGTCTATCAACCGAAGGACTCGGTTACAGCCAGCAGGCTCCTGCAGCAACTCATGGAGACAAAAATGGGGCACGGGGAGAAAGCGAATTCTTATATTAACCGCTGTCGCAACATCCGTGGCCAGATCACGAAGCATGGGAGCGCAATCTCGGAAGAGATCTTCGTCAACATAGTCCTTCAAGGACTCGGGCCAGAGTGGAAGCCCTGCAAAGCGCTACTCCAACAGCGAGGAATCATCTCTGAAGCCGCGCTATGCGCCGCACTCCTGACTGAACAACAGGACATGGACTCGAGCAGAACAAGCTCAGCGCCGCGCCGAGAGCGCCTCGCCTTCTACGCTGACAACCGTGAAGAGCGACGACAACCAAGGCGCCACTATTGCAAAATATGCAAAGTCTTCGGACATTTAACGGATCGATGCAAGTCCCGATCCAACTATCGCCACCCAAATTCCACTCATCACAACAACTGGGTCGGCCGACAAGATGCTCGTCACTCTCAGTCTCAACATC